TCGTACATACTCGACTAAAATCCCCAACCAATGATGTGCCCTGTCTGTAAGTCTGACTCGCGGTGCTCCACTTCGCCAAAGGGAAGTTATCCCTTTGGTCCCGTTCACGCACTTCGTCTTTGGAAAAAACACAGGCTCCGCATTAAGTACTTCCCCTTTCTCCATCATCAGTTCATTACTTTTTTTCTGTAACTGTATATTTATGTACACATGATCTCATTCAGATGGTGGATTGACGGATCTAGTTAATTTGCAAGATGGCGAGGACATTGCTCGTAAAGCGAGACAGATCAGACGAAAAATCCTGAAGATGCAACAAGCCTTCACTAACATTGAAAAAGTTGGTCTAATTTGGATAAAGTAAAATAATAGAAAGGACTTCGGCCAACTTGCTTACTGACAGACCCCATAAGTTAGCGCCTTCACTGTTACCTTTTTTGCTCTTACCAGTCTTCTGTCCACTACAGGCGGGCCCCTCCTTGCTAGATATGTTCAAACACATCAAACACATAACGCACGCTCACCTGCAGATGTATCCTTGACATGTGTGGTGCTAGAGCCTCCTCCCCCCAGCTATGTATGGGAGCGTAATGCTCCGCAGATGACCGTACACTTTGTCTCTGAGGGGATAAATTACGGTCTCGAACGGTAGCTGTGTCATAACAATAGAACCATTTTCACTGCTCAATTAATCTCACAGTGAAAATGGAAATCTTGCTAGTAGTGTACTGCGCCGCTATACCTGAACTTTACCTCCGAAGTACAGCCAGCAGATGGTCCGCTACGTCAGAGACTGGCTGATGGAAGGAAGTGCGTCTCTTTAATCGACCACATAGTTATTTTGAAGTACCTGTATTACGGCGGGAATGCAGCCATGTTCTCATCACTTTCTGAAAACTGCACTTTTCATTGTTCACTAAAGTAGGAGCAGTACGAGATCGACACGCTATCAGTCTTGCCAAGGTTAGTAGTTTGAATTGCGAGTAAGGCTGCCTTCATACTTTGCGTCAGCTTACGGCAGCGTTTCGAGCATCATTAGGTATCGATTTAGCGTACGCCGACGTCCACTAGGAATGGAGAATATGGCGAAGTGGGAAGATAGCAGACTGCGATTAGGCGTCGTAAGATTGCTGCGTACTGAACGGCTAATGCCGTTTGGACTCCAGAAATTTCGTCTTCGAGCTCATTTTCAAATTGCCTAAGTCACCAAATCCACTAAAAACTTGTATATAGGGGTAATTCAACATCCTGATTACGAGTATGACACTCATTCTTGGCGCTGGCGCCAAGAGAGGACACTACGATTACCTCGCTCAGCTAAGCAGAGCGCAGGTAACCGTAGTGTCATCCATTAGCGCCAGCGCCAAAAATGAATGTCATATTCGTGATCAGGATGTTGAATTACCCCTATATACAAGTTTTTAGCGGATTTGGTGATCTTGCCACTTTTAAAATGAGCTCGAAGACGAAATTTCTGGAGTCCAAACGGCATTAGCCGTACTTAACTGCACCGTACTACTTGACTACACCGTACATTAATATTGCATGATTCTATGTATTATTAGGTTGTCCGGAAAGTTCTGCAGGTTTCGAGTGTTTCACTTTAAACGATCATAACTTTCTTAACACTCATCGGATTTAATCCAAATAAGCACCATTCGAATCAGCACACTTTTGCCAATGTGACAGCAGTCGAGAAATCCCATCAAAGAAAAAACTGGGTGGTCGAGAATCCACGAAATCTACGAAGGTCTTTTTGCCTGGTCCTAATTGATGAAGTATTTTTCAGCAAGGAAGTTCTGAAAATGTTTGAAAAGGTGATAGTCGGTTGGTGAAAGGTCTGGAGAATATGGTGGGTGTGGTAGAACTTCAACCCCCAATTCGTTCAATTTATGGATAGTGATTTGTGAAACGTGTGGGCGGGCGTTGTCATGCAAAAGAATCGGACCCTTTCTTTTGATAAGTGTTGGCTGCAGCTGACAAAATTTTCGGTACATTTCGTCGATTCCTTCACAGTAGGGTTCTGCTGTGATGGTTTGGCCTGGTGATAAAAAGTTATAGTGGATCACACCAGCCGATGACCACCAAGCCGTGACCAGAATCTTTTTTTCGTGAGGGTTCGGCTTTGAAATCCAACCACTGTCCGGAACGTCTCCTGTTATCATACATGACCCATTTTTCATCACAGGTGACAATTCGGCCCAAAACAGGTCGTTTCTGCTGCGCAAAAGCAATGCAGAAGGAACCTCGAGACGTGCCGATTCCTGCCGGTCACTCCGATTGTGGGGCACCCAATTGTCGAGTTTTTTCACCTTCCCAATGCGTTCCAGACCATCTGCAACAGTGGATTTGCCAACGCCTAGCTTTTCTGCAATCTCTCGAACTGTTTGGGATGGGTCAGCCTTCAAATTCCCTCAAAATCCTCGTCAGATATTGCTTTAGGTTGACCGCGTGCTTTCTCTAGCACTATTGGGCCCCACACCTGGTTAATTTGTTGAGCTGTTTCGATTGCGGATTGCCCCAATTTATAGTCGAAGAAAAAAATCGTCCGAAGTGCTCTTTTCACATGCTTGAAAAAATCTTAAAAAAGGGGGTTCATCAAGCAATGGTGAAACGGCAGTTATACCATCAGATAGCGCAAAGAATTCTCTTCAGGATGTACTACTGAGACGCAAGGGAGAATGAGTTTTTAATCAGCAATGAATGTGCAAAAAATAGTAACACAAAACCTGCAGAACTTTCCGGACAACCTAATAATAGTTGCACGGTTGCACAATCCGCAATTTCCTTATACTCTCCACTCCTGGCGACGCCGGAACGCTGGATCAGCTTCACTTTACTAGTCCCTCGAAAAAGTGCTCTACGTTGACATAGCTATATCAATACCTACAGTGTCCTTGTCGCTGGGGCTGGCGTACGCTCGAGACGCCACCCTACGCTGACGCCGAGTAAGATCCGGCCTGAGGATTTTCACAGCTTCCCAAGACAGCTATAGTCCGGCTATATACATATGTATGAGCCGGCTTACTCACCTTCATTTCAGCATCAAAAAATCGAGCTATTGAACTTTTCCTCTCAAGTTCCTACAAGAACACTTTCTTTTCTGTGGCAAATTACTATGAAGCATGATCCTTAACCCATTCGTGACAATGTCCGCCACTGGTGGTGGACACCGAAATGTCCACTTCGGACCATGTCCACCATATGTGGCGGACGGGCTTTTGATGAAATTTTTAGAAACAGTTCGAGTTCTTCGAGGAACTTTTCCCAGTGGTACAAGTCTTCATACCTTTGTTAATTTATGCAAATAGTGGACCAACGAGATCTTCAGATATAAGGGTCCCAGGCACGATTCAACTAGCAGCACCTGAGCCCAAAACCTCTAGAAAAATTTCTGCTGAAAAATTGCCGGTAGGGGTTACTCAGTGCCCCGATCACGAATGTGACGTCCGTTTCTGGCGCCGGCGGTGTTTGACGCCATTTGGCACCATTAGGCGCCAATTTGGCGCCACCACTTTTTTCATCAAAACCGGGGCGCCAGAATGGTGCCGCGCCAACTCACCACTACCTTTTTTCACCAAACTTCAGGAAAAGTTACATACTAGGGCTTTTTGTTGGTCTGGTCACGAATATGACGTTCACTACAGGTCCCAGCGCCAACTGGCGCCAATTTGGTGCTATCACCTCTTCCACCCAAATTGATGGGAACTTGGATACTAGGGTTATTCGCTGTCCTTATTATTGATATGACATTCATTTTTAGCAGGAACGTTAGCGTAGGGCACAAGGGTTATCAATGCGATGCTGAGGCTGAGCTTGCCTTAGGAGGAGGGAATCACTCCTCCTCCAAGCTACAGCCTTTTCAGAGCGCTACATGGCGCTCATGCCATGTAGCGCTCTGCAAAGATAAAAACCAATGTCTTATTTGTGATCGGGCTTCCCCCCATTGAGCTCGAATGCAGAACAGCTGCGACTTTAGCGAAAAAAGGCGACGGCGAGTGCAGGTGGATCCTAGCGCCGAATAGCGCCGGTGAAAAAACTATAGGCACTGTCAACCCTTTACTGCCTCAGACATCCGGAACCAAGCCAACTTTCGACCAACTCCCTTTATGTGGACAGACTTGGCTTAGCAGTCGTTTTCTGATGGTTTGACCTTTCAAAGGCAGCGCTCGCCTTCATTTGAAATTCCTACGCCCTCCTTAGATATCGTAGCTTTGTCGACAAGGGTGGAGGATGTACTAATTTCGCAGCTCAAAAATACGAGAGGATGGCGCCGCTCGAATGTGTGGAGGGGTTGCCCAGTTTTTTTTTACTTTTTTTACTTTTCTTTTTTGAAAATTTCAGGAACAGAAAGTTGAACAGCGCTAAATTTCTAGTAAGGGGTCACGAGGGACCGTGTCCACTGGTGGCGGACACTTGCTGAGAGCTCGCAGATTCTCCACTCCTAAAGCCGTTTTCGAAAAACACGCCTGGTCGCGAATGGGTTAAAAGGGATGAAAGGCTTCTGATATTTCACTTGCGAGATTGGCTACCCAGAGAATAGACACACTGGACACTGCCGATGTGAGAAAAAAGAGCTCAATGCCCATTCATGCGCTTTTATTAGAACAGGCTTCGGGAAATTTTTCACTCATGTCAGATTCTCATTGGGAATGCTGTGACGTGATGTATGCATCAAAAATTTCCAGTGCTGCAAGCCGGTGATTGCTGCAGTGCATGGAGTTTGCTTCGGTGGTGGTATCGACATCATCACTGCATGTGATATCCGGCACAGTACAAGAGATGCGAAATTTTCAGTTAAGGTGAGTTTCTATGAATTTCCCTCACGACGCTCTTCCGATCTCCATCATTCCTGCTGATACAACATATCATCGCTTACATAGGAGACCTAATAGTCCTTCACGTGTTGTCTAAAAGCGTTCATCCTGTAACTCCCGCTGAATCTGTTCTGTATACTTCCAGTGATTATAAATTCATGGATTCGCGGAGAAACGTTTTTTATCAAAGGCAATTTGCACGATAAATCCCTAAGACGAATAGGATTAATACGTCTGGCAGGGCGGAATTCCGCGACCCTGAGCAGGCGCCGCATAGAGGAAAGCAGTCTTATAGGGCCCTATCGAGCTGCAACATACCTACCCGAACGCCGGCAAGATGCCTACGGGAAACTCGTCCGAAATTGCTTTCCGAGTCATTAAGAACGAAGGCTTTTCTTCGCAGGTTTTTGACCGTTTCACTTCGTTTTTTCGCCATTTTCCCCACTATATAGCGCCCTACTAGCATTTCAGGCCGAGTACCAGATTATGGTACCAATTGCCTTCAAGGGAGCTGAGTATTTTTCCGTTCTCGTTCCCGTAACCATGAGTAAGAAAGAGGTTAAGGTAGGGCATAGCAAGCGCCGTCATGCAAACGTGATACATCAGCTGATCCCATAAGCCTCTGCATGAGTTTGATCGCTTTCACATGTAATTGTGCTTCTTAATAAAACCTGAATGAAAGGAGCGTGTCAAGGCAATCATATATTCAGTGTTCATCTTGCCGGCCAACATGTTGTCTATAAAAATCAGGTATAGTGAAAATCAAGAAAAAGCTTTAAAGAAAGCTGATATATTATGGTTGGCGCTGGCATGCCGTTGGTTGTGGACTAGTCCTGTCCTCACTCGAATGATACAGGAATGGATGTCAGCGGCCGTTTTTCAGGATGAGAAGGAATTTATTAAATACAATACCAATCAAAGAACTGATAAAGTGACACTGTCTGCCTTTACTGCCCCAATATTTCAAAACCAAGCCGGTTTTTTCTTCGACTTCTCCTTCCTTACACCACATTTGATGTATGTATTGACTCTTGGACCCGAATATCACATCCGCAAGACCGCAAATCTCATAGCGCGTGCGCTACAGCCGTCGGCACGACATGCATTTTTCGACCCTAGCGCGAGAGCGCGCACTGCAAGTGGTTTCGTGCCAAGCGGTGTACTAGGGCAACTAGGATAACAAGTGGAGACAAAGCAGCACCCATGCAGCACCCAGCTGAGCAGCGGGTTTCTCTTCACACTATCTTTATCCTAACAGAGTCCCAAGTGAGACCATTTCCACAGTTATGATATGTGGCTTCCTCTTGATCTTCAAACACTTGTGCCCTAACTATAGACTGTTCTCGCTAACACAGATCTTTGGAAGAGATGTTATCAGTTGCTTACATAACATTGGTACGGAGCATTCCTATCTACGTGCAGGAGTCCTAGGTCCCTTTGTGATCATAATGGAAATTTTTTCAGGAAGTCGATGTTGGTTTAGCTGCTGATGTCGGTAGTCTCAATCGGCTTCCAAAAATTTGCGGCAACGAAAGCTGGATCAAGGAGGTAATATTTTGGACATGTCTCCCTCTAGCCATTATTCTCCATTTCGTACTGAATATCAGATTAGACAACAAAGGCTCGTGTAAAAAACACATAAAATGTATCGATCCACTAAAAACTTTTTGCTGGTTTGTCGGCTCCGTAGAGGACGACGAGAAGTGTTGTATTATTGGGAACGCATTGCTCTCGAAAAAAAAAATCAAAACATTATGAACGCTTTCGCCCCCGAATACTAGCGAGTGCTCTCTGCGATTTTTGGAGGAGCGTGTGTTATGGCTTTCTGAAGGCTTTCAGGACTCATAAATTCTCCACTAGCGAATGCGCCATTCTACACAATGAATACCTGTGAGGCCACTCCGTAGTGGTCTACAAAGCCAACTTTTGCTTTATCTCTGAGAAGGGTGTCGCTTGCCGTGCAACGGTGTCCTGCCGAGAGGGTACAACAGTATCGTGATGTGTGAGGTGGTGGTGTAGGTACGACCCTCCCTCCGAGAGAGGGTGTCAGTACGACCCCCCACCTAAATGAGGGTCTCGGTACGAACCCCCCCCCCTTCCCAACACCTACCTACGAATTTCTCCCCATTTCCAGTTTTTCATCCAAAATTTTCCGTCGAGCGGGGGGGGGGGGAAGGAGTATATAGCCGGGGGAAGGAGTATATAGCCATTGTTTAACGGGTGAAACGGAGAATTTTCCCAACTTCCTAGCACTTCTCCTGAATTTCCCGGAAATTTTCCTACTTTTTCATTAGAATTTTGCTGTCGAGCGGGGCGGGCGGGGGCGGGGGGGGTCGCATATGCATATATGTTGGTATATAATGCACGTGTGCACATGAAACAGGAAAAACCACGCAAAAAGTCAACAACCGGAAAACCAACGCGACAAATTTCTCTCAAAGGCACATACGACCCCTTTCTCTCCCAACAATCGAATACTGTCCCCCTCCCCAGAGGAAAGGTACGACTCCCCTATTCGTTTCACTCAACGATGCTACGATGCTGTTGGGATTAGTATCCGAGAGCTGCAATTCATTTATTCGAAGGTGGACCACGTATCGCTCGCGGGAAAGGAGTTATGACTGTTGCTTTACACCCTAGGCGCAGACCAACAAAACCAGCAGCAGACTCGTAAGCACTCAGTACGACATACCTCATTATGGGAACAGACATCCTGCGATGGGCACCATATGAAATGCGCCAATGCGCCAGACCTCCTCACCAAAACACGTAAACCATGCATACAGCCTCCACAAGCCAGTAAAAAATCGGCAGGGCCAAAAGCAGATCTGCTCAAGGATTTATTAGTGCTATATGCTGCTGATGAGCCTTTGAAACGGAGCCGCTGGATATCATTAGAGCAGTGCCGATGAACTTACGCTATAACAAGTTCCGAAAGCATGGCTGACGTCACGAGAAATAGTCTATAAAGGTAAAATGCAGCCCTACTCCTTTTAGAGCGCCAGGACAGCAGGTGGCGAGTATGACATTTTGAAACATTGTAGACCTTGGCTATTGCCTTTGCCTGACTTAGATGATCGTTAGATGATTCCAGAACATTATTTGGATTTCCCAACAGCCGGGAACTTTCCCTATTTTCGAGATGCAACGCTTCCCCTTGATCGCTTATGCATATGATACAAATCGTAACTTGTTCCCTCTATTTTTAATCTTCTCCAATAACATCATCTCCGTTTTCCAGATTGCCTTCTCTGCTCGTCACTTCGATGCTGATGAGGCGCTGAAATTTGGTGAGGAACATGTTGCAGTTAGATTAGGCCCAGTACCTCTAGCGGCCATATTGTGAATCCCAAAGACTAGCTACAGTTTGGAGGCCAAGCAAATCTATCGAGGTGCAACCAGGGCAAGCCAACGCGTTGTGGAAAACTTCTGCTTGATACACCCCCCCCCCGAAAAAGGTTTTAGCACGGCCCCAACTCAGAAAACTTCAGATGATATAGAATCGGATACTTGAGTTCAAAAGTACGCGCACATTCAGCAGTGCCACTTTAACGAGCTACTTCGCGCTATCTTTTCAAAATAGGCCAGGAACTCCGGAAGCGCCTTTACGGAACGTACATGACTTTTTTTTGATATTGGAGCTTTTTGACTTGACCTCTGTACTGCCGTGCATCTGCCGCGCAGAAATGTACATATTCAAGTTCCAGGTAGAGGACTCCGTAAATGCATACATTTCCTATCCCTGAGGCAGAGTAGGTGTGGCATTTGAAGTCAAGATGGAAATATTCCCAGAAACATAGACACCTTCAGGTTAAGTTGAAGAATGCGTCCACGCCTACCCGATCTCAGGGATTTCGACTATATCTGCTCGTGCGCTACAGGGAGGTCCAGTTTTTGATGTCGTTGTGGATGGCCACCCATAACGACATCACGAGCTCACAGCCTGTTCCCCATTCTTGAGCTTGCAGTTTGCTCTGTCGTCAGGTTTCTTTTCAAGTGTTTCCTACGGCAAGAAGCATGAATAAATTTTTTATCATACCACATACAATGATGAACAATAACTTTATATTTCTGCGAATGGACTGTGCTTGGAAGTGAGACCTGTGCTTACGACCCTCCTCTTTCGCGGTCAAGTACGACCCCCTACCGCTGCGATTTTCACAACTGAATGAGAATGATACCATCAAAAAAACTCGAGAACTAAGTTGTTTTAGTTGCCCTTCTTTTGACCTACCATCAGCTCTCTCAAAAGCTCTTCATGTCTATTTTAAGATTTGCTCAGTCGTGTGTACAGCGGATACGATGAGATGATGAGAGAGGTCTTGACATTAGCGAAGTCTATCGCTGAAAAGAGCCCTGTTGCTGTGCAAGGAACAAAAGTAATCAACTTTCTCACTTTCTTGAGTTCTTGTGAGCTTGGCACTTTTTATTTCGTTTCATCCTCCATAAGAACTTTTCTTAAGATTATCCTGAACTACTCCCGCGACCATACAGTCGACGAAGGACTACAAGCAGTGGTTGGTAGACACACTTTGGCGGAACTCGTCGTTACTCTTCAGTTACTTCTACAACTGTGCGAAGTGACAAATAGGCCAACCTAGCTTTCTATGTTTTAAAAACGGAAAATTAATGGGGAGATTGGTCTGGGATGATAAGAATTCTGAGTTGTCCAGCCAGCGCTGATTGCCTAGGCCATATAGCTCCAGTAAACAACTGGGATTTCGAAAGGAAGTGAGTGCGTCACAACTGAGGGTTTGATCAAGTGCGAAGACTTTATCATTATAGTTTGTTCTGTGGGCATACACTCCATGTGACGATAATGGGTAGCGTGGGGTCGTACTCCACTCAAACATGGCGTACGAGGCATTTTTCATGCGGTATTTCCACATGATACGGCTCTTGACCAAGACATGACTGCAACTGTAATAAAATGGCAAAATATCATCAACAGCGTAATCGTCGCTACATTCGAAAAGGATGCCCAGCCAGGCCCTCTTCGTCTTTGGGATATGAAGTGCATGATTCTCTGCACTCGCACTGGAGAGAGCGTACAGAAATTACCCATCCAGTTGCTATGACTTCAGCCACTATCCGTTGCAAAGTCACGCATCGTCCATGAAGTTTTTAAATGGTTCCATCTTTCAGGCTACATGGAATCAATCGCAGCTAATGACTGAAGACATTATGAAGAGCGGTTTAGCTGCGTTGACGAAGTCTCCTCTACCACAATTTTCAAAGCTTTAGTGTGTTTTCCTACTCCACCACCTATTTCTGTAGATGAAACTTCTTCTGCTCCAGTGTTATTACATACACACGATTTTTACTGTACGCCTTCCTTCACTTTCGCTCGTCTTTCAAGTCTTGTCAAATTACGACCGCAGCCGCTGATGGGAATGAGTATTGTATTTCTGCTTCATGTTGCTATCTGATGTGTGAGACAACTTTTCACCGCTTCTCAAAAATCGCTACACCACTACTCTTGAAGCTTACCGTTTGTGAACGAACTCTCCGAGCTGGACTCAAAAATCATATGCAGAGAGAGGGGGGAGGGCAAAAAAAGACACTTTGGTAGAGTTATATACCAGTAAAGTTTTCGCAGCCCAGATAGAAGATGTGGATACGAGTACCAGGGCGGAAGATACCCAAGATGTTCCTCGATAAGCAGGAGCTGGCTCTCGCCCATCACCTTCATGTACACCAAATATGAAGTCATCTCCAATCATTACCAAACTGGGGAAGGCCTATGGAATTCAAAATGCAAACAGCTGCGAAAGTTCTTGTATGGAGCCACCCGTGGACCTGGAGACCGGCATCTGGAAGACCTCCAACATCGAGCAGCTCCGACAACGTCGCTACGGTCAGGATATCATCTTCACCGCAGTCGCCAAGGCGCGGGTTGATGGTATGGACCGGACGTACCTGGAATGGGAAGACCGATATTTTCTTCGTGGACCCCGGACTGAAGGTGAGCGGTTACATCGAGCAACTCGAGGAGAATATCCTGCCTTCATGTCGTCGCCCGTACCTTCTTGGAAACTTTGTACTGCTACAGGATTGGGTACACATGGAATCGAAGGGCGTTGGAAAAACTCTCGCCTACTTGGAATGGAAGGGCGTTGAGTACCTGAAGAAGATGGAATATCTAAGTGTGTCACCTGACCTAAACCCCCTCGATTACCGGGTCCGAGCGGAGCTCAACAGGGTGGTCTACAGTGGCGGAGAAATCAACGATCTCGCTGAACTCAGGCACCGAATCACGGTCGCGTGGCAGAATCTCTCGATGGCGCTCATCCAGAAGGCTGTGACAGAGTATCATGATCAGGGTACAGCGTGGGGATGTGCGAAATGGCGGTTTGAGTACGACCTCCTTCCAAGAGGGTTCAGTTACGACCCCCCCCCCTCCCTCGAAGAGGGTCCAGATACGACCCCCCCCCCTCCTGCTCTAACTGACAACCAGATGCATGTTCACCACAAATGGCTTCCTGAAATGGAATCTGGATTTTCGAAAGGCGGACTCTGCTCTAAAATCCAGGCAATAATAGGCTGTTTCAGCCTCATGCAATATGAGGCTGAACAACAGCCTCGCATTACCTACAATTTTGTCTTAGGATTCAAAATAAAACTCGTCGTTCGACAACCATGTATGACATGCAACTTGTAACAAGGAACACAATCGAAACAGCGACTAATGGTGATCATTGATAAGCTAAATTGGTGAAAAAATAGCCCCAAGGTCAGCGTGTCAGGCCCCAGATGTGCATCAATGAATGGTGACGGGGAAATCATGAAAACATGCACGACACAACAAAGCGAAACATGAAAAATACAAAAAAATGCGGAGCCAAATGAAAAAAAATGGATAACCAGGCGGCAGTATATCGTTCTATACTTGGCTATTATCGATCGCAACGTTGCGACCGCTTTCACTGGAAAAACGTCATTGGAGCGCGGTTGTTGGGCCTGCCAACGTCCTGGGGTCTTTTCGGGGGTTATATCTCTTTGAGGGGCGCGGCTTTTGATGAATGGTTAGCAGCATGCAACGGGAATGTTCCTACTGTTGCGTTTTCTACCCAGTTGCAATCTGAATGTTTCCCCGTTCGTGAATTTCGGATGGGTTTCGGATCGGCTAGGGGTAAATGGCAAGCGGGTTTTTATGCTTCACACGAGGATTACTTATTTCGAACGCAATTTCATCAGGATTAAAATCGTCTTGAAACCGCCCTATCTTTTCTCTTTCCAATAAGCTTTACAGTTTTCCTGAAGACCCGCTAGTTCAGGAGATATTTTAGATGGGGCTACCCTCTGACCCACCCGAAAAATCGACTCCTTCTGTGCCATTGTGAGGATACACCTTCGGAAACTTCAGTGTGCCTTCAAAACACATATTTCCCTTCAAATGAGTGAAAGAGGAGCTCGGCTATCACTGATCGATTTGGTCCGAGTGTGCGCCGTGCATTACGCTCCTACGCAGAGGTGGTGGAAAGGTGTAAATTCTGATTTCAGGTGCTTTTATCCATGCAAGCAGATGTTTGTTTAGGGTTTGGAAAGGACAATACGCACGAATCTGTTTGAGACGTATTATTTAGTCATCTACGTACTTACGAGTTCATGCTATTAACTGATATTTATTTATTTATTTATTTATTTATTTATTTATTTATTTATTTATTTATTCTTGATTCTTGCTATATTGCTAATGAATTTTTTTATTATTTTGTAGTCCTATTTACATCCGGGTCTTCTGCAGCTTTCCGTCCGTTCCATCAAACTTAGCAATGACACTTTGTACTGTTTGATGCCTAGCGAGCCTACTTTTGCGATACTCCCCACGTCCCCCGCGGCCAAGTACGAACCCATTTTTGGGGATTTCGCATGAAAAGAGGGCTGTTAAACGTAGCAGTTAAATCTGTAAAGAATACACTCATAATAATTTTCATTTTTTTAACATCTTGACTTCCATAGCTCCACTCCCACTATCAACTGAAATGTCGCCGGCTCTGAGTGACCCTTGAGATTACGACCCCCCCCTCCCCAGCGGCCAAGTACGACCCCCCTATGGGTTTCGCACAACGATGCTGTACCCTGATCATGATAGTGTACAATGTGCTGTTGGATATGGTAATGGAAATGTCCAATTGGATTTCAATGAAGTTTGACTTATAGGCTTGCGCTATTTAGCTTTAGGCTATTTAGCCTTGAGAGTCTAGGAAGAAAAATGTCTTTTTTTTCTGTCCCCCTGTATACATACTGAATGACTGGTGTGCTCGTCGCTATAAGGGACCGGCTCACGTAATAGATCTCTTTCATAACCAAAGTATATTCAAGAAGTGGATGGGACAAGTGCTAATCCCGCCGGGTTATGTCAATTCTCCATCTGTACTGTTGCTCAACTGCGGCGTTAAAAATTGTATCGAGGTAAAGAGACGACAACTATTCCAAAACGTGATTCAAGAAGTTGAAGATTCGATCGGTCATCCCTACCGTAGCACATTGAAGTTCAACTGATCTAGTGTCAAAAAGGCCACAGCACCCTCGGGAGAATCCCATCAGGGAGTCGGGCCCCGCCGGTGAGGAGGGAAATTCTAAGCGGTGAGTCAGTCAGCATGGAACAACGCGAAGGTGTCAACATCTCTAACCATAAGCTTTTAGGAGCGGAACCAGCGTTGTAGAAAATCCGGATGTGTGGTACATCACAGCATCCTTCTATATAATCCGCTAAGTTTCTCTGTTGATGTTTGTGTTGTGTATGTGGAAAGCCGTAAGTTCCTTCGATTTGGGTACAAGTTTATGAATGATATACGAGGTAGGACAGGTACAACAGTGGTGGGTTATCTTACTACCATTTCGGCTGACGCGCACTTCTGCGCACATGGCTCAGTCTGTGGTCCTGATCACGGACCGGATCTCCCGGCTGTCCCCTAACCCTTGGGTTGGGTTCCATGCCATGTTTGAGAATACGGTCCACCTGACCATATTTCTCCTCATTGATGATCACTTGCAATCGCAGAGCTTATCACATTTCCAAGAGCACCCATCTTCGTGGGGAATACGGGCAGCCTAGCGGTCGAAGGAGTTTTGACAAAACAACCACCTGTCGGCTCTTATCATTCCTCACTGGCAAACAACTTTCGGCGTTCCTTTTTGTCTAGGCTCAAGCGTTTAGCGCTAATGGATATAAACATGCTCACTCACTAAGACCCTGCTCATTAATAATATCCACTTCTTGTCCCTTGTTATAACTACAGCATGATGTCGAAAGTTCAATTACTTCTGTCAAAGAAGTTGTTAGATAAAATCTCCTAGTGGTCTAACGTTGAAACGTTAGGCCAATAAAAGGTTTCATCTAACAACCCAGAAATAATTGAACAGTCGACTTTGCTCATTGATTCTTGGACTACGGTGGTCACAGTTTAGTCGCAAGGAAGGAATAAATGCGAAAAAAGACTGACTCCTTAAGCTTTTCTCGGATACTACACCACAACCTACCTCTTGTAACCAGTGTTCCCCAGTCATCCCTGAAGTACTTGTTGAAAGCCGTTCCCCATTGTCGCTACAACTTGTACCAGAATTTCGGGGGCACCCTTTGCTGTGGTACCTTATCAGTTGTTATCACTTCCTGCCACCCACCAATGGTTCGCGTCCAGCCCCATCTATCTTTTCTTGGAACCAACGTTCCTTCGTTGCTATGGCCACACACACACACACACACACACACACACACACACACACA